GGAAGAGTTATAGCAGGTGGTATTTGATTACTTGATTTGTGCATGCTTCAGCGATTTTCATGGGAGTATGTTGCAATTGCAGACAGGTAGTTTTCATGAACTGGCTCTCTGGTTGCATTTTGGGTTGGATGAGATAACAATATACTCCAGTGCTATTTGCAGGAAATGTTTGCAAGGATCTTGTTTGTTTGTTTGATTGTTGTTTAACGCCAAACTCAGCAATATTCCAGCTATATGACGGCGGTCTGTAAATGATCAAGTCTGGACCAGACAATCCAGTGATTGACATCTAATGAGCATCGATCACGCAATTGGAATACAAAGACATACATCAACCAAGTCAGTGAGCCTGACCATTCAGTCCTGTTAGTCACCGTTTATGGCAAGCATAGTTGTCTCTTACGATAAGCATGGGTTGCTGAAGACCTTCTCTAACCCAGATCTTCACGGGTTGTCTTGTAATAAAACTGCAGTTAGGTGTGATCAGCAGACTTTCCATGCTTCCTGTCCCACTACTGAACTTGGCACAAGGCAGTCATAGAACTATAAACAAACAAACAAACCTGTGCGTATCATGTATATGGGGAACACATTTACATCACAAACATTTTTTAGAACCGCCTCCGTGGTCTAGTGGTAGAGCGCCTGCCTGGAGAGTGGAATGTCGGGGGCTCGATCCCCGGCCGCATCATACCAAACAACGTTAAAAGATGGTACTTGTTGTTACCCTGCCTTGCGCTCGGCATTCAGGGGCTAAAACAAGGACTGGTCAGGGTTTTCATGTTAATCTTTGGCACGGTATCTCAGTGGGCTGGAAGTATAAAATCGGCATAAGTACGTCGCTATGTAAGTACAATAATCTGGAATGCGACGTTAATCCCCATTTCACCTCACCTCAATTCGTTCATTCATTCCTCACAAACATTTTGTAGAATCCCTTGAAAGATCTACATTCTGGTCAAAACTGACCTGTCCAATGAACTGTGACAGGCGCTGTCTGTAAACAGGACAGAGCTATGCAGTGGAAGAGCTAAGGCAGTGGCATTAGATAATCCCTCTCCATGAGCCATCTCATTTCCCCTTCCCTCATTGCTGCCCTTACTGTAATGCTATGCCCTAAATGAAGCAAGTCTAGATCTCCACAGGTTCTGAATCTCCCTCGCTAGGGCTCCTTTTCTATTTAAATGTACTTTTTTGTTTCTATAAAAATCATATATTTTCAGAAATTAGCACTAGTCAAGGGTATTTTTGACATACTTTCTGCGACTTTCATGGGAGTTTGTGTACACTTATGTGGCCGAATGAGCAGAATGTGGCCTGTGTTTAGGTGGGAAATGAACACATGTGGTGAACCAAGGTCAGGGTTGATGGATGCGGAGCTGACATAGTCATCATCACTCACATCAGTGACTGACAGCTGACAGATCTAATAGACATCCTCCTGAAGGACTGAGTTGATTGCAGGGAGCCATGTATTGAAGACCAGAGGTGTTTGTTTAGACTAACATTTAGTCTCTGAAATCTTATATCACACAATATCCTTCTTGACTCTAAAAATATAAAAAAATTCCCTGTGCTGATTTGGGGAATAGAGCTAGCTTGAGCTGGCTAGACTTGCTTTTGTATGCGTTTCTAGATTTGATTTGATTTTTCATAAAATATATATATTCCACGGTCATGGTGCAGGACTAGTGTTTGTTCTGCACGTCGGGTAGACTAACATTTAGTCCCAGATATAAAGTTATCTTATTTATATAAATATAAACAATATATAATGTATTCCATGCAAGCCCAGAACAATGCTTATCTAGACTTGCCAAATCATTCTAGACTTGACTTGGCTCCATTTCTGAATTTTATATCTAGGGTCTTGGAGACATACATGTCGTGGTGATGACTGCGTAATGGCAGATTCACTTAAAACAATATTTACTTCATGTTTTTTCTGATGAACATAAAACACCACATTTTTCCTTAGGTTTAAAAAAATCCCCTGACAACTGTCCGAAATTCCGTTAGTCATTTCCATCTGACTGTATCTGATCGACAGCATTGTATATGACAAAGTAATATGACCAAACAGACTCATGATTGAGACAGCTTCCCTTTGATACAGGGAAATTGCCCTAGCAGTGGACCGAAGGATTGACATGAAAGAACATCACTGTCAAAGTCGTTTTTGTGCTTTAATAAATTACCTTGAAAAATTATTCCTCTAAATTTAGTTACAACCCTGTCTAAAATACAAGTTTCAGTTGGAACTATATTGCCTGTTTACACAGTGTGACTGACTAAGCACTGGCCTTAATTGTGACAAAATATACAATGTAATAATACATACATTCCAGGAAAACTTGCTATGTTTAGGTACTGTTTCTTACAATAGATTTTATTTGATAAGAAATTGTGTGTTATGGGGTCCTAATTGTCCTGTATTAGGAATAAGCACTATGTATTTAGCTCCCAAGCCGCACTACATAATGTTTAATCCTAATACAGTTTATTTACCATCACACACTTGTATGATAACCTCTGTTCCTCTCACTATATTTCAAGATTTGAATTACCATTTTCAACATAAGTTTAATGATTGTCAGTGGTATTAAAACAGACATTTAGCCAACTGTTTCAATGTCAACATATTTCATTCAACAAATGTCTGTGTGAGGTACACCATGCACAACGGTTCTTGTTCAGCACCACTGGACCATGTGACTAAATGCTGGACAGGACAGATGTTTCATTGTGCTCTATAAACGTGATGGAGGTTTATGTTTACAGATCACTGTTTGTGTATACTGTAAAATTAATGTGCAGTTGAAATGAATAATAAAATGGGGCTGGAATGAGTCCAAATTTACTACCCAGGTACCCGACCCCCTATTACCCTCCCTGACCCGGGCACCCTCTGTAGGTCTCAAGAGTTGGGAACAAAATGTCAGACTGGGAATTGTTTTACTGCAAAAACTATTTAGATACATGTATCAAAGGATCAGAACATGCTTACACTGAAGTTGACTGAAGTGTTATCTTTACTCGAACATATACAAGTCAAAAGGAATGTGTGCATCGTCAGAAAGAAATGCCAACATTAGCGACTTGTAGTGTTAACACTGAGCTATAGTGAGTTTTTGTCATTAAACAATATATCACGTGACTAGCCATGGGTCCGGGTAGTCCTGTGGGAACCCGGGTCCTACTCAGGACCCACCCGAGGCGAGTACCCGAGTTACCCGTCCTAGCCCTAGAATAATCCTCCCAAGTGTATTAGCTTCTGTTCATCAATTCCTGGGGGCGGTCGGGTAGCCTAGTGGTTAAAGTGTTCGCTCGTCACGCCGAAGACCCGGGTTCGATTCCTGACATGGGTTCAATGTGTGAAGCCCATTTCTGGTGTCCCCCGCCGTGATATTGCTTGAATATTGCTAAAAGCGGCGTAAAACCATACTCACTCACTCACTCACTCACTCACTCACTCACTCACTCATCAATTCCTGATGAGTGAGTGGGGTCAGGGTGACTGCAGGGTGTCTGTTGTCTGAGGCCCCACAATTAGCTGTTCAGAGTTGTGTCCCTTTGTCTTGCAAGAATCTGATGATTGTGGTTTCACAGGATATTGGCATCATTTGTTGCAGAAAATTGACATAATTTGCCAGAGAATATTGAAATTAATTTTCCTCACTGCATTGGCATTATTTGTCAGAGAAATTAGCATTCTTTGATCCTAGAATTATTGGCTTTATAATAGAACATTGGCATTGTTTATCACAGAATATAGGCATTATTTATTACAGAACATAAGACAGCTACGTGATAAATCACAAAGAACAATGAAGAAAGAACCATGGTTTACTTCACGTTAAAGCTTTTTTCTATTGTGGTGTCATATTTCTAGAGATTCAAAAATGAGCTCACAGCTTGGACAACTTTATTTTTAGGCTGCCCCCCTCATGGTTTATTCTCCCTGCAGTGATTTATTGTACGATAAACAACGACCATGAGTCATTTATTTCTTAAATATGCAAGGATTTATCTAAGACTGTTCAGAGGCCAATATTCGACCCCAAGTAAAAAACAATCGCCATGTTTAATTACAAATTTCCCAATTCATGTTATACAGTTATAACTAATGTTATGCCTTTGTACTGGGGGCTGTATATCACTGAATAATTTAAACAAAATAACATTTATTTCCAAATTTCCTGCCAACGACGCTTGGTTTGGAATCCTAGATCAGTCCCTGATATGCACTGACAATTGTTGCTTGCGTTGCCAACCAATGGTGTGTCTGGTCCACACTCAATTATTTCCACACTGTTGTTATATTGCTGGTATATTGACAGTTGCATAAGATGCTTCACCTGTGTGTGTCCAGGTATAGACAGAGTATTTCAATATGACGTGCCTGTGGAGGGTAGTTTCTCCTAGTCCATTTATTCTCCTCACCAGTCAGTAAGGTATTGACAATAACTGACAATGTTTAAGTTCTGTTTCATCCATTGTATTCAATGGCCTCAGCAGCGGGGTTGCCCAGTTTTTAAAAGCATTGACTCATCACGCAGAAGGCCAAGGATCGGCACAGGGGCACATGTTGAAGTGCTTTCTTAGTAATCCTTGCTGTGTTATTGCTAGAACCTTGCTGAGTCTACATAAAAGCCTTACTAACACTTATGATTTATGGAAAAGGTGTCACCTAGTGTAGTACAGGGGTGGTCGGGTAGCCTAGTGGTTAAAGCGTTCGCTCATCACGCCGAGGACCAAGGTTCGATTCCCGACATTGGTACAATGTGTGAAGCCCATTTCTGGTGTCCCTTGCCGTGATATTGCTGGAATATTGGTAAAAGCAGCATAAAACCATACTCACTCACTCACTCACTAGTGTAGTACAAATATTAAGGAGAGCACCCTTCTAATTTGTTCAGATCATATCTTATTACAGCAAAGTTGATGTGTTAGTTTTGACAATTAACAATTTGATGATGTATTGAATCCTTCCTCTTCAGCAAAGTTCATGGAAAATAATCCGCAGTATCGTGAGATGGTCACCCTTTGTCCAAGTGTTCAAGAAAAACAAGTACCCCTGGATCCAGCTAGCTGGCCACCAAGGTGAGCAGAGAGAGGTTGGGGTATGAATAAAGGACATTTGGTCCTTCCATTGGGAAAGTATAGTGTAAAACAAAAGAAAGTACCCCTGGATTCAGATGGCTGGCCAAAGAAAGAGGTGTCAGGTCGGAGTGTTGAAGGAACTTTGATCATTAGGATCCCAGGGCAGAATCAGTTCCACACCCCATGCTTGTCATAAGAGATGACTACTGAGGATTGATTGTGTGTCCTGATTCGATCCAATGGATTGGTTGATTTGTTTGTTTGTTTGTTTGTCTGTCGTTTAACCCTGCGCTCAGCAATATTCCAGCTATATGACGGCGGTTTGTAAATAATCGACCAGACAATCCAGTAAACGATATCACGAGTATCAATCCACGCAATTGAGATCCGGTGACATGACCACCCGATCCTGTTAGTAGCCTCTGGATTGGGACTCGTTCTGTCAACCACTGTCTAGGAGTCCCAGACTATTTACAGGCCGTCTTGAAATAGCTGGAATATTGCTGGATGTGGCGGACATCACTAATATCTTGCCCCTGGGATTCTGAGTAAGAAAATAGGTCCATAGCAACCTATGCTTGTTGTAAGAGGCAACTAAATCAATCTCAATAAAATCAGATCTTAGTTCTCGCTACCGCTAAGCAAAGATCTGAGGACATCCCATTATGGGTCACGTCAGACCGACCTTGCACGAACTTTGACCGACCAATGGAATGACCAATCAGAAGGCAGCTTTCTCATGCTTTACAGCACTAATTTCAAATTGGCGACTACGCTTCGAAACATATTTTGACAAATTCTCGATTACAAACTTGAAACCTGAACAAAAGAACATTCTGGAATGGCTAATAGATGGTCTAGATTGTATGGATTCAGTTGTTAAACCTGTAACTATTGTTCGGAATATCCCGTGTTCATGTTTTTCGAGGTTGTATGATTAGAAATCACATTCCGACTGTCACTTTCATGATCTGGTAAGTGACGCTCTGATTGGTCGGATGAAAGGTCGTTCTGACGTGACCCCTAATGGGATGTCTTCAGATCTTTGTTTTAGCGGTAGCGAGAACTAAGGACTGATTTTAATGAGATTGCAACTAAATGGATCGGGTGGTCAGACTCTGTGACCTGGTTGATTACATGTGATTGTATGCCAATTGCATAGGTTGATGCTCATGATATCAATCACTAGATTATCTTCCAAGACTCAATAATTTACACAGCACCAGCATATAGCTGCAGTACTGCGTGCAGCGTCAATTAACCAACCAACTATCTGTTGACTGTTTGAGCTGTCTGTCTTTCTGTCTGTCGGTGTACAGCCTTTACTTGTCTGTCAACTGTTGACTGTTCAAGCTAACTGTCTGTCTGTCTGTCTGTTTGTAGGAAACTTCCAGGCAGGTGATGCTGGAGCTGTGTTAAAAAAGTTGGACAGTCGTGAAAGACAGTGCTACCTCAAGCTGATGTCGGACTCACTCAAACCCTTTGTGCCCGAGTACCGGGGAGACACCGAGAAAGCTGGCGACAGTATCCTTCTTTATCATAATTACATCTCATGATGAGATACAGTAAACTCTGTTTATAACGAACACGCTTATAACGAACTGACCGATATAACAAACTGTTTCTTGGTCCCGGCCATTTGTTGTATATATGCTGTCTATATGCTTAGAACGGACTATGATTATTACGAAGTAAAAAAGGGGGTCCCTTTGAGTACGTTTTAACCGTAGTTTACTGTACTACAGTTTACGAGGAATTTGTAGACCTTTCACCTTACACCAAAGTGCTATCTTCATTCGTGCTATCTGACATTTATTTAAAATTTGTATTAAAAAATCATGCCACTGAGAGCAGTTATCATATCGAGTAAATCCTGCAAATACAAAATCTTTATAGCATCATTGCCATTAATCCTGTATTTTGGCTGTCATGAAACTATCAAATATCTTCAGATTTACAACAGAAGTCCTATTCACTGTCACTATCCATAATCAGTTGTGCAAGTAATAGTCTCTATGTGTGGTCAATGTGTTAGTCTTGATGTCACAAAGAAGACATGTGTTCTATTCTGACAGGATATGTGCAGTACATGCACAACATACATGTGATATGGCTGCACCTTTGTTGACAGTGCATTATCCCACCTTTTTTGCGTATTTTCGCTTAAGTGAGCTACAGAATATATACAGCTGCAGGACCTGCTGTGTGAGTTCAACACACCGTGTGTGATGGACATCAAGATGGGCTGTCGCACCTACCTGGAGGAGGAGCTCGAGAAGGCTCGCAGCAAACCCACGTTGAGAAAGGTAGGATCCCATTGGTTGATTGATGATGGCAATGGTATCATTGCTGTAGCACGACTCTTATCTCATTGGTTTAATGCCAACTCTTATCTTATTGGTTTAATGTCAACCCCTATCTTATTGGTATAATGTCAGCTCTTATCGCATTGGTATAATATCAACTTTTATCTCATTGGTTTAATGTCAATTCTTATCTGTTTGGTTTAATGTCAACTCTTGTCTCATTTGTTTAAAGTCAACTCTTATATCATTGGTTTAATGTCAGTTCTTATCTGTTTGGTTTAATGTCAACTCTTGTCTTATTGGTTTAATGTCAACTCTTATCTCATTGGTTTAATGCCAACTCTTATCTTATTGGTATAATGTCAGCTCTTATCGCATTGGTATAATATCAACTTTGATCTCATTGGTTTAATGTCAATTCTTATCTGTTTGGTTTAATGTCAACTCTTGTCTCATTTGTTTAAAGTCAACTCTTATATCATTGGTTTAATGTCAATTCTTATCTGTTTGGTTTAATGTCAACTCTTATCTTATTGGTTTAATGCCAACTCTTATCTTATTGGTATAATGTCAGCTCTTATCGCATTGGTATAATATCAACTTTGATCTCATTGGTTTAATGTCAATTCTTATCTGTTTGGTTTAATGTCAACTCTTGTCTCATTGGTTTAAAGTCAACTCTTATATCATTGGTTTAATGTCAATTCTTATCTGTTTGGTTTAATGTCAACTCTTGTCTTATTGGTTTAAAGTCAACTCTTATCTCATTGGTTAAATGTCAATTCTTATCTGTTTGGTTTAATGTCATCTCTTGTCTCATTGGTTTAATGTCATTTCTTATCTGTTTGGTTTAATGTCAACTCTTGTCTCATTGGTTTAAAGTCAACTCTTATCTCATTGGTTTAATGTCAATTCTTATCGTATTGTTATAGTGTTAGCTCTTATCGCATTGGTATAATGTCAACTTTTATCTCATTTGTATAACAGCAACTCAACAATGTATGCTGCCCACTTCTGGTGTTTCGTGATATTCTTGAGTGTTGCTAAAAGTGATGTGAAACCCTGCTCACCCACTTGAGATGACAAGGAGCAATACAAATGAAATAACCTGCTTGAAACTGAGTTACAGACAATCTTTCCCTCGTCCCCTGTAAGTCCTCAGTCCATGTAGCTCATTTGTAAGTCTCCAATTATCTCAACTTTATAGTGACATCAAACTCTAGAGCAGCTTTAGTTTGACAAAGCATCATTGCACACATCTGAAAGGTACCACCATCATGACATTACTGGGTGGTGATAACCGACAGCCTGTTGAATGAAAATCAACAGAAAATGCTCCAAATGTTTTGGCTCATTCATTTTAAGTCAGCCAGTATAGCTGTACCTCTAAGATTAAGTACGCCACCCTGATTAGGTCACACCTCAGTTCCCATTTGAAGTTTTCAAACCTGTTTGGTTGTTACAGTGACGTCAGTTAGTTGGGTTGGCGTCACAAAGCATTCAACAGACAGGATTTTCCGGTCGATGCAATTTACGTCATGATGAAACTCATCCCCCGATGAGTTAGTTTTACAAAAATGCAATGAAATAATGGATAGGGAAGGATAGTGTCACGGCTGGAGGGGTAAGAACACATTGGTCATTGTCAGACAGGCGGAGCGGTAAGGAGTTGGGGTGGGGCTGAAAGTCAATACTTCAGAACAGACTACAAGTTGTACATCATTGTATGAAGGGGCAGACAGCGAAATCCTGTCAGTAATGATTTACATTATCCTGGGACTAGAGAAATACAAAGATACACTGTTTGTTTGTTTGTTGTTTAAGGCCGCCCTCAGCAATATTCCAGCTGTGTGATGGCGGTCTGTAAATAATCGAGTCTGTACCTGACAATCCAGTGATTGACATCATGAGCATCGATCCATGCAATTGGGATACGTTGACTTGTCGACGAGTCTTCAGGTCTGCACTTCACTGTGAAGAGTTATGTCCCTTGGGCAAGCTACAAACCTATGATCATTGGTTTAAATCCCAATTGGCCCTGGTTCTGTTTCCAAGTTTGCCAGCACCATTCCTGTGTTTGTGGGTTTCACATAAATGGTAAAGACCGCCTCTGTGGTCTAGTGGTAGAGCGTCCACCCGGAGAACGGAAGGTTGCGGGGTTCGATCCCTGGCCGTGTGTTAAAAGATGGTACTTGTAGTTACCCTGCCTGGCGCTTGCCATTAAGGGGCTAAAACAAGGACTGGTCAACTCAGAGTCAGTATACTGTGTCTGAGTGGGGTATTCATGTAAAACTGCGGCATGGCATCAGTCCTGACTAGTACAAGCAGCCACACCCCTTTGTATGCACGTCGGTATATAAGTGCAATAATCTTGGATGCGATGTTAAAACCACATTTCACCTCACATAAATGGTCAACGTCTAAGATTCTCCCACATCAAGCTGACCTGCCATGATGTAACTGAAATTCTGTTCCAATCTGTGTTAAACCAAACTTTGTCTCTCACTATATTATGACACCGGAGATAAAGTTTGCAAGTGAGATGTGACAAGAAAGCCAAGAAAAAGAAGCTATGGGTGTCCATGTCTGAATCGATTCAATTTTCATGTATGGTGAGCACAAAAATGGTGAAGTTTTTTGCCTTGACAGAATAAAAGAAATAGTGCTTTTCAGATATAATTTTCCCCCTTGATATTATGTTAAGTTGATCTGAATCAGTAGGCCATTTGAACCAAATCCTCGACATTGTACCTTTGTTTTAACCCTTGTGAATATATATCAGCTGTGATCATAAGCAAGTTGGACATAATCTACTGCACAGGAAGTCCTCCAGGCTTGAAAACTCCCTCAAGAGTGAATATTGATTCATCGATTGATTCTTTAGATTATGCCAGCCGCCTACCCACACATGGCGAGGGTGTGATGCAGTTGATATGGTTACACAGATAATCTGGAAGTTGTCCTGTGGCTTGGTGCAGTGTTGTTGCAGATAAAGAGCAGAAGGTTATTCACAAACCTGCATGTGGAAGTCTTGTGGTCAGCGTGGACCTGGGAAGACTGATCTTTTGTCCTACAGTTCACCGAGTATGAGACTTCTCAGATTATGTGTGGTCAACAGAGTATGGTCAGCTGGGGGATAATTAAAGAAAATCCTAATCAATAATACTAGAAAAGTTGATTAGCTTTCAATAATTGCAATTGAATGACTTTTGACAAATTTACTGTGGAGGACATATGCCTCTTTTTATGTGAAAAAAAATGCCAGAATTTTTCGAATGAAATGAACTATTTTTGCAGTGCCTCCAATCACCAATGTGAATGTATATTCTGTAAATACTTAATTAGGACTTGGGGAGTAAGGATCTTTTGGATTTGCAGTGGGTACAGGAATCTTCACAAGCATTAGGTATCTCCTATCTACAGTACGCTTTAGTATGTCAGTTGTCTTGTGTCAGTGTCGCTACCTGATGATGTCCATGGCAGACAGTATCCCCCGTAGGATTGTTGTTTGTTAATGATGCTTGAGAGTTTGTTAAGTGTGTCCTACGCCGGCATGTCAATGTTTGACTCAGAGAAGCTCAAATGACATCTCTCTCTCTCATTCACCAAGGTCCAAACCCACTCACTCACCTAGGCACCCCCTCCCACACTCACTCACTCACTCACTCACTCACCCAGGCATCCCCTCCCACACTCACTCACTCACTCATCCAGGCACCCACACTCACTCACTCACTCACTCACCCAGGCACCCCCTCCCACACTCACTCACTCACTCACTCACTCACTCACCCAGGCAACCCCTGCCACACTCACTCACTCACTCACTCACTCACTCACTCACTCACTCACTCACTCACTCACCCACCCACCCACCCACTCATTCACTCACTCACTCACTCACCCAGGCACCCCTCCCACACTCACCCCCACACTCACTCACTCACTCACCCAGGCACCCCTCCCACACTCACCCCCACACTCACTCACTCACTCACCCACCCAGGCACCCCTCCAACACTCACTCACTCACCCAGGCACCCCCTCCCACACTCACTCACTCACCAAGGCACCCCCTCCTACACTCACTCACTCACCCAGGCACCCCCTCCCACACTCACTCACTCACCCAGGAACCCCTCACTCACTCACTCACTCACTCACTCACTCACTCACTCACTCACTCACTCACTCACCCACTCATTCACTCACTCACTCACTCACCCAGGCACCCCTCCCACACTCACCCCCACACTCACTCACTCACTCACTCACCCAGGCACCCCTCCCACACTCACCCCCGCACCCCTCCCACACTCACCCCCACACTCATTCACTCACTCACTCACTCACCCAGGCACCCCTCCCACACTCACCCATCACACTCACTCACTCACCCAGGCACCCCTCCCACACTCACCCCCACACTCACTCACTCACTCACTCACTCACTCGTGTTTCCCAAACTATAAAGTATGGTTGATAGTTCAGCATTTTTCCCTCAAGGACAAAGCTGGCCTCAACATATTGGAATGGAACCCAGGTTTATGGCATACTAAGTGAACCCTTTAACTACTAGGCTATCCCAGCAACCCTCTGCCCTAAGTTCTATGCATAATGTAGTCATGCTAGCATGATGATGTCATATTAAGAACATTTGTCATGTGGTCAGAAGGGAAATATGTCCTTATCACACAGCTATTCTCAGTGTGAATGACATTGAACGGTCATGGAAAGCCCTGGAGATTGGGACGTGGGAAGGAAGTAAATAGAAAGTTCACCGCGACCACAATGAAAGTGAAAGGAGGGTATGACGCTTGACACACATTTCATTTTGGGAAACATGTGGCTGTAGATAGCCGGACAGATATGTCAAACACTTACAGGGCAAAGAGCAAACAGTGTTGGGTTGCTCTGATGTCATTTAACCAAGCTGTTGTGTATAGATATATCACTTGCAGGGGAAACAAGAGGGAAGGAGATATGTATCTTGTACATCT